CTGACAGTAGGCAGGGAAAGAGCAGCCAGCTCCCAGTCAATGATCAAAGACTCACATGATTTCACTTATAGGATGACAAAAGAAGTAAGACCAAGAAAGAAATAAATATTGTGATGATTGACTTATCCTTCAGAGATCTCTGGTTTGTATTCTTTTTTTTAACCTGTCAAATCTCTCTCACTGTCATTTCACACTTGGTTTCAACACAGCTACAGAGGTGGAGATGGCAATTCTCCTGCTTATTGATCTTGACATGACATATCCTTGTCTCACACGGAGAAAAATGTTACTGCTGTCAAAAGAGATGCAGGCGGTGACTTCTGTATCTTCCTCTGGTAAAATAAACTCGGATTATGGCACGGGGTCAGTGCTGTGGGAGTTGCAGACACCGGAGTGCTGTACAACACTCCCCTCTTGTGATTCCTCTGGTTACAACACTTTCCAAACCGCAGCCTTTCCCCATTAACCTCTTTTACATGGCAGATTGCCTCCCTGAGCACGAACCCTGCCCTTAAACAGCCGCTTTCCTCAGTGGGAACTGAACAACACTTTGAACATACATTTTGGTTTTACTGATTGCCTCCTTCCCCGTGCCTATAACCCTTGTGTTATTTTTTACCTGATTCTCTATTTGCTGCTTCAGGAACTTGGGCAGACCTGGTATTCCCACCTTTGTCAGCATATGTTGCATTTCCTATCTAAATGCAGGGTTCACTGCAGAAATTTCAGACCTGCAGGTACATCTTTGCTATTCTCTTGCATTTATTGGAGCTGCAGAGGACCAGAGCCAGGCTGCTTCAGTGAAATGACAGCATCTTTGCCCACACAGTGCCTGTCTCTAAATTTTGAAAGCATCAAAAAAAAAAAAAAAAAAAAGGATCAGTGCAGGATTCCTGCTCACCATGGCGAGGTGTGGTTGCTCTCAGGAAATGGCAGAGTTGGACACTGGTCCAGAAGGGAAGGGAAACTGGGGACTGAGCATGGCAGCGAGGTGGGATGGGTGGAAGGAGGGAGGACACCAGGGTGGCCTGGCTGTCACAGGCACAGCCCAACACACCTGAGCAAAGCAAGCAGAGACACCTTGGTGACAGTGACCAGGTTCAGCCCAGAAGGCCCAAGAAACCCATGGGGAAGCACAGGGTGAAGCAGGAGTGATCATGCTGACCTATCTCAAAGCTTGACCCCAAACTCCCAGGAAGGGGGATACTCTCAGGGCCATAGCACTGACAAGTCCCACAAAAAACTTTTACTTGCCCACATGAAAAAGCAGATTCCAAAATATATAATTTATTTTTGATTTGGACAGGTAGAAATGAAAAATAGACTTAATTACTGCTTTTCTGGTGTGCTCAGACCACAAGTAATGCAGTCACCATTAGGAATGACTTTTAAAAACAATTTTTTTTAATAAGTGAAGAACAACAGAGAACTTTTCAGTTCTACTTCTGTATCACACACTCATGTCAAACTACTTCCCCTTATTTGAGAAAAAAACCCAATAACTTCTTTATTAAGCACCAACCTACTCACCCATTTTATTACCTAGATTAAGTACAGCTCATTATTTTGTCCCCAGCATTCTTATTTCTGGTGCAGCTGGGATGTCACTTTGTTACCACAGGGAACAAAGGCATGTTTAGATGTCCATTTTCTACTGTAATACCTTGAGAGCAACTGTGAAACTAAATCAAACTGTAGGTACTTGCCTTAAACAATGAAGAAAATAGAAAGAGCACCAGCAGCTCCCTTTCTTTTCACAGATACTGGAACTAAGTTTCCAAAGTTTGCTAAATTGCTGTTTTCTTAACAACTTAACCATGGGTACCTCCAAGGTCACAGAGTTACTGAACAAAGAATGACAAACAACAAGGCCTGTCTGAGCTCCATCCCTGCCCCAGAACATGTGGGTTGTGATGGGCATGAGTGTGCTCAGGGCTGAGGGATGTTCAAAAAGCAGTGAGAGGAAAACTAAGGAACAAAATGTACCTAAAATTAGGGGAGGAAATAGAAAGGTGTGGTTTCTGGTTGAGAACATGCATTTTCAAAGCAGGTGTTTTCATAACAGAGAGGAGAATTAAGGCAACCTTAAACATAGCAGGAACTTAGATTGAGAATATCTCAGCAGTAGCCATAGAGGCATGTAACAGTGGAATGGTTTGGGTTGGAAGGAGCCCTAAAGATCTTCTCATTCCAACCCCCTGCCATGGACAGGAACACTTTCCACTAGACCAGGTTTTCATCATCATTTGGATCATCTTCACCCTCTCTAACAGTGTTTCCTGACCTGGGTTGTCTTCTTCACACAGACACCACCCTAATACGTGGCTGTGACTCTCTCAATCCCATAGCAGCAACACGGCAAGTGAGAGCAGAATTTGGGCCAGTCCTGCACTGACATTTGTTTGCTCTTTCTGTTTAAACTACCCCAGGCCAGTGAACTGTGCCAGAGCAATTCCATCGGGCCCACAAGGGTCCTTTGGTGCCCGATAAAACACACACACACACAAATAAAAATGAAACTTTGAACATGGTTTTGTATGTGAACACATCTGTGGGGCAGAGAGAAGTGTTTAAAAACAGATCTGCAAAGCAACTGCAGGACACAAAGCCAACATGGATGGAGATAATAGGAATTAACCTTTCTGAATCATAGAATAATCACAGAATGGTTTGGGTTGGAAGGGACCTTAAAAATAATTTTGTTCCAGCCCCCTGCCATTGACAGGGGCACCTTGCACTAGAGCAGGCTGCTCCAAATCCCATCCAACCTGGCCTTGAACACTTCCAGGGATGGGGCAAAGGAGACTTGCAAAAGAATAAAAAAAAATAAAAGGATTCAGATACTTCTTTCTTTCTTTCTCAAAATTTTAGTATTTCCATAAGTAATTACTTTGAATAAAAGCCTTAAATTCTCTCAATTTCCAACAGGTCTTTTACTCTTTTCCCACTTCAGCACTAAGCAGTTAACAAACAGGAGGCTGTAACCCTGCACTATTTATTCTTCCTAATTAAAGAATCCTGTCAGGACATGTAGAGCAGTTCCTGGATTTTACTTTTAAGCCCAGACCTGTCACTTCCTTGAAAAATAACTGTAGCGAACGAAAATAAGCAAGCCTTAGGAGGGACCTGCAAAGCTTCATGTGAGAAAAGGAAAAAAACTCACTCTATTTCTCTGCATTTTGAGGGGCCTTGTGTGCACATTAATATAATATTCACATCTAAAGAACTTGTTTGTTGCTGTGGTATCCGGCAGCACTTTTAAAATAGGTTATTTGAGGCAGAAGAGCAGCAGAGATGGCTTGAGATGTCTTTCAGCCTTGCTGAATTTTCACTGTTACACAACGCAGCCCAAGGCTTATCCAGGCAGGAATGATGTCCCTCATGCAGCTTTTGGAAGGAAAAGCAACAACTCCTGCACTCTGATCTGCAGCAGAGTGTCACCAAAACACCTCTGGCGCCTGTCCCCAGACTAAACACAGCTGGAAACGTCCTTGTGGGCAGTGCCTGTGCCCGCTCAGGCTTGTGCTGATCAAACAAAAGCCAGAGCAGACAGTGACTGTCCCTTGTGCTGGGCATTGTCCCTGTGCTGGGCACTGCTGAGGCCACACTGCCAGCCCGGGGTCCAGTTCGGGGTCCCTCAGTTCAGGAAGGACATTTAGAGACTGGAACAAGTCCAGGGAAGGGAATGGAGCTGGGGAAGGGTTTAGAGCACAGATTTGATGAGGAGCAGCTGAGGGAGCTCAGCCTGGAGAAAAGGAGGCTCAGAGGGGACCTGGCTCTGCACTACTCCTGACAGGAGGGGACAGCCTGGGGGGTCAGGCTCTGCTCCTGGGAACAGGGACAGGACAATAGGACATACTCCTAAAATGTGCCAGGGGACGGTTAGGTTGGATTTAGGCAGAATTTATTCACAGAAACAGTGATTAGACATTGGAATGGACTGCCCAGAGGGATGGTGGAGTCACCATCCCTGGAGGTGTTGAAAGAAAAAGACACTAAGCTATTCCAGAGGATCCAGAGGAGGCCACAGGGATGGAGAAGGGTCTGGAGGGGCAGCTGAGGACACTGTCCAGCCCAGAGGTCAGACCTCAGAGCGGCCAAAACTTCCTCAGGAGAGGCAGGGCAGGAGCAGGGTCTGATCTGTTCACTCTCGGTGTCAGGAGCTGAGGGAACAGCAGGAAGCTGAGCCATGACAGATTTAGGCTGGATATCAGGAAAGGTTCTTCCCCCAGAGGGTTCTGGGCACTGCCCAGGCCCCCGCGGGAATGGGCACAGCCCCAAGCTTGACACAACTCGGAGCTGGGACAACGCTCTCAGGCACAGGGTGGCATTGTTGGCGTGTCCTGTGCAGGGCCAGGCGCTGGACTCCATGATCCCTGTGGGTCCTGCCAGCTCATGATACCCTGAGTGTGTGAAACACTGGCTGTGCTCATAGACTGCACTCAGCGATCTCAGAGACGTTTCCAACCCAGCTGGTGCTATAACTCCGTGACCCTGCCGCTGATTCCATCCCCCTGTCCCCTTCCTTGTCCCTGTCCCCGCCCGAGGCCCGCGCTCCCCGCACCGGGACCCGTCCGAGGGCGCCGGCCCCGCCCCGCCCCGCCGTCGCCAGGCGCCGCCGCCAAGAGAGGAAGTGTCGTAAGGGCCGACAGGAACTGGCCGCGGGTTTTACGGCCGCGGCGGCCGCGCTTGGCGGCGGCGGAGCGGGAGCTGCCCAGACGCGGCGGTGAGTGGCGGCGGCGGGGGGACCCCGGGCCCCGAGCGCTCCGGGAACGGCCCCGCCCGCGCCCGCGGGGGGAGCGGGGCAGCCGCCAGAGGGGGCGGCGGGGCGGCGAGGCGCGGCCCGGGCACCGTGCGTGCCTTTGTTCGCGCCCCCCCCCCCCCCCCCCCCCCCCCCCCCCCCCCCCCCCCCCCTTTGTTCGCGCCCCCCCCCCCCCCCCCCCCCCCCCCCCCGCTCCCCGCCGAGCGCGGCCCGTGAGGCCGCCGCGCCTCCCTCCCACCTTCCCGTCGCCCCCGTTCGGTTTGGCGCCCTCCTCCTCCTCCCCGGTGAGTTTGTGTCGGTCTCTCCTGTAGGACATGGCCGAGGTACCGCCGGGGCCTAGCAGCGTCCTGTCCCCGCAGGGGGACACGCTCTCCCCCTTCCCCGGAGGAGGAGGAGGAGGAGGAGGGGGGACTGCTTCCTCCTCCTCCTCCTCTGCCACCTCCTATGCCGCCGCCGCCGCCGCCTGCACCGGCGCCCAGGACGAGGAGGCCGAAGAGGAGGAGGAAGAGGAGGGACCCGCGGGCGGACGGGAGCAGCAGCAGCGAGGAGGAGGAGGAGGCAGCGACGGCGGCAAGGGGGGCCCGCAGCACCGCCACCACCACCGCCACCACCACCACCCCCCGCACCACAACCACCAGCTCAACGGCCTCATCAGCCCCGAGCTGCGGCACCTGCGGGCCTCCCTCAAGGGCAAGATCCTCGGCTCGGAGGCAGGGGCGGCCCCCGAGGGGCTGGAGAACAAGCGAGCCAGCAAAACAATGGGCTCCGGACAGCAGCAGTCGTCGCCCCCCACCGCAGCGCCCTGCTCGTCCCCCCACGCCAACCACCTCCCTCCCCAGGGAAGGACTGCACCCTCTCCTCCTCCTTCTCCCCCAGCTAAAGGGGACAGGAGCCAGCCTGCTGCCACAACCACGACTGCTGCTGCTAAGACTGCAGCCCGCAATGGGCTGGCAGGAGAGACTGGCTTGGAGGAGGAAGAGCAGGAGGAGGGGGATGAAGGAGGGGAGGAGGAGTCCCTGCAGCTACTCTCCGGGTCCTTAGCAGCAGCCTGCAGTTTGAAAGGCTCGGGAACGGACTGTCAGCCCGAGGAGGACCTAACGATACGATACGTCCAGTATGAGTCAGAGCTGCAGATGCCCGATATCATGAGACTGATCACCAAAGATCTGTCTGAACCCTACTCCATTTACACATATAGGTATTTTATCCACAACTGGCCACAACTTTGCTTTTTGGTAAGTGCCGGGGGGAGCCGGGAGGGAAGGAGTTGGGAGTGGTTTGGGGCTGGGGAGGAGAGGATGGAAGGGTTGACGTTTGTGGAAATACTTTTAATAATCTTTTTGTGGGTAAGGCCGGGCTTTTTTGGAAATACCTGTCTCCTTGTGACTGTGCACGTGCAAGTAAAGCATGTGCCCGAAGTTCTACATATGTTAACACATGTTTTAAATGGTAGGGAAAGGGCTAGGATCCAGAAATTCAGGGCTTCTAATCTTGGTTTTGACATTGACTTTTGTGACCTTTGGTAGCTCATTTTATGATTCTATCTGAGTTCCTGGGCTTAGATTTAAAAAAGAAAGTACTTAGTCCACTAATGCCTTGTAACTGCTTGGTAATTCTTGCACAATGGCTTTAAAACTGACTAAAGCAGGGCTGGCAAATAAATGTTAAGCGATAGGTGGAGAGGCACTGTGAAAGGTTTAGTAGACTTTTTGATCTGTGAGCTTACTTTGACAAAGACAAGTCCAACTGTGTTGCTTTTACAGGTGTGAGAGTGCTCACAGCATGCAGGAATCCTCACGCTGGCTCCCTGCACTAACAACGTATTTAGTGTTGTATTCTTCCTACTGCACTATTGAAAGGCTGGTTTAGCTGCCCCCCTGCCTTCCTAAATGTTTAGCACTTTTTGTGTCTCAGTTGCAGGCTTTTAGGATAAGAATTCATCCACAGGTAAATGAAACTGAGTAGAAGTTGGCCTGAGGAGTGTATGTGCATGATTTGCTCATAGGAACACTTACGGCTGCAAAACAGAATGTTTAGGGGAGTTTGTGGCACTTCCTTGCTAAAGAAAATGAAGAATTTGTCTCTGTTGATGTTTTAATTAAGGCTGGGACACCCTTTTGTAATGTCTGATGTAGCCAGAGCCAAGACACCCTTCAGTTCAGGGGTGTCTCTGAAATTTTGATAGAATATGAGTACAAGAGGTGAGGCTAATGGAGTCCATCTGGCCTTAAACTTCCTGTATGTTCCTGGTTTAGGATCTAGTATAATTTATAGCAGGATTGACATGGTTTATAGGAGGATTTTCAGAACTGTGCCTCTTAAAACCCTGCAGAGGGAATACAGTCGGATTACAGGAAGTTGAGCAAAGCAAGAAGTTGACCTTTTGGAACAAAAAAGAATATGAAAACATTGGAGAGCATTGTTGGATGCAAAGTCATGTTTGCCATTACAGGGATGCTGATCAGAGCACAGTGATGTTCTTCAAACCCTGAGCTCTGCCTGTGGCTGATTTACCTCATACTGAGAGTAAAATGCTCAAGAACTACAAGTTCTAACTTGGAGCATCAGGTGTACCCCGGTAATGCCAAGGCAATGTTGGATACTCTTAGATCACAGTGCATTTGTTTAGACTTTCAGTAATTATGAGGGGTGTTTTTGTCAGGGAATAACTGGAGAATCTTGTTGTGAGAAGAGCAGTGACAAGTTGTTTGACAGAGAAGTAAAACAGATGATTTCTAATAACTGCATTTAAAGAGTAAGATATCACTCAAGGAAGAGAAAGCTTATTTTGTAGTGACAGTTTCATTTTTTGATATCCTTTAATGTACTTGCCATTTTTTTGGAAAGGTGAAACCATGTAAAGTACATAAAAGTGTAGAGAATAATATATGGCTGTGAGTGTCTGAAGCCAGCAAATTGTTATCTGCTTAATAATTTGAAGGTCTTGCAGCATGCTGAGTCAAATTCATGTGTGGGGTGTTGGGGTTTTTTGTGACTGGTTTTAATACTTTTGAGGTTTGTTTCTTGAAAACTTTCTGTTCTATAACATATAATTTGTTCCTGCAGTTAATGGATTCCTGAACTACTTATCTCTAATAAATCGCTTTAAAATATTTATCTTCAGTCAGGGACTGCATATTTCAATTAGCAGGAAGTGTCAGGATGGTGAGCATGAAGCTTAGTGCCTGATCTCAGAGAATCGTTTGTCTTTAATGCTTTGTGACCCCACACCCTTCTGGTTTCAGGTTTTGGCTGGATTTTCAGTGTTTTGGGAAGAGGGGTTAGCCTGTGATTTGATTGTATTTGGAAAAGGGTCTCTAAGGGTTCAGTCAATTCCTTTGCTGAATTTCACCATCACCATTTGAAAAGTCTTCCAGAGCACATTCACCTGTCTTCCTTGTGCTGTCGTGGCACCTTTTCTTTTCTTTCCCTGTGAGGAGAAAGGACTGACACCACTGAAATTTAAGATGGGATGTGTATTTTCCCTAAATAATCAGCACTTGCTTCTTTCTGCTGGTTTATTCAGTGGACCACCTAAAACATACTTTCCCTGTTGTAACAATGCAAAGCTAATTTCTGGGGACATTGTGAACTTTATTGCATGGTTTTGAAACTTGCTTCGTTTTGGCTTGGCCTTCCCAAGCTGCCCAGTTGCTCTAAGAGCTGGTGCAGCCCAGGCTGCCACTTGTTTGTCCTTTCTCCTCACCTCCCTCTTCCTGTCTTGTGCCAGCCCCTGTGTTTCTGTGATTTTTGGGAGCCAAGATACCCCTCTGACCAGCATTTACTTGTGAATGTGTGTGTATTTAGCTGTTTTAGGGTGATGCTCTTGGTTTAGAGCTCCATATATATTCCTGTAGGATGTCTCAGGCACCGGTTCAAGAGAGGGGTGGGAGTGCCCAGCTGGAGAGAAGGCAGAGGACCAGCCCTGTAGTGACCAGAGCTTTTGAGGCTCAGACCACTTCCTAACTGTACACTCAAGTTAATATTCCACTTTAAAAGGACCTGGAGATACTGGAAATCTTAAGTCTGTATTAAATTCAATATCGAATTTATCCACATAACTCTTATCCTGACTTTAGGGGTAGCAACTTGGGAGTGCTGCTCAGTGCTGAGGTGTCACACTGCAGCAGTATCTGGGCTGTGGCAAGGTAATAACATTTTCCTCCATAAACTTCCAGTGGAAGGTGTCCCTGTCCATGGCAGGGGGTTGGTACAAGATGATCTTAAAGGTCTTTTCCAACCAAACCATTCTGAGATTCTGTAAAACTCCAACTGTCAGGTTAAACTCATGTTTTGCCTGTCTTCAGAAGAGCGGGTTTGCACTGTGTATTAGGTGTGGGTGCCCATTAAATGTCTGGTTTTTACTTACTCTCAGAAGCTCTGTCAGCCCAGTTTCTCATCAAATGATAACCACTCCTCTGCCAAAAAATGACAGGGGCAAGGGACATCTTGTGTTTCATGTGAAGCATTTTTAAGCAATGTTACATCTTCATCCCCAGATGGATTGTAAATGCATTTTCGACATTGTAGCTTTCTTTTAAAGTGGTTTTGTAGCTTCTAGTCTTAGCAGTGTTAAAGTTCTGAAGCTTCCATTTCAGACTGATAAATTAAATATTTCAGATAATTGTTTTCAAAATCCTTTAGCGTGGGAGAGGTGAGCTTAAGCAACCTTGCTCTGTAGCAGAGTTTGGATAAGAGAGAATGTAATAAAAGCAGAGTTCTGGCTGAGTGTTGTAACCTCTCCTGTAATTCACTGTACCACTCAGCTGCCTTTTAAGAAAAATCTAGAAAATCTGTGCTTTTATTGGGTTCTTAACTTTGCCACTAGCTATAGCAGCATTTATAATTTAAACTTTCACAAGTTTAAAAATAACCTATTAATTCCATGTAAGTGGTTTTAAATGTGTTGTAAATCCTAAATGGCTGCAGTTAAGTCTTGTTTTATACTAATACTTTGCATTTCTTTTTAAATTGGATTTGATTCAAGCGTCTTGGTGTGTTGAAATTAAGTCTTGTAAGACATCATCCCTGTTCTTCAGTTGTGGAAAACCTGGGGCTTAAAGGAAGAACCAGAAAAGTTAGGAGGTTGTCTGAGAAGTCTTCTTGGCCTCGTGGCAGGTGTAGGAAGAAGTTTTGTAGGAGAATTTGCAAACTTAGTATTCCAGTTTGTTTTTAGGAGTGATCACGCCTTGAGACAGTCTCTCACTGGCGGTGGCTCTGTGAAAACTGAAGTCCCTGCAGCACCTGAGCAGGTGACAACAGCCAGGGCAGCTATTCCAGAGGGTGCTCCTCACACAGGAGGGAATTGCTGGTGTCCAGGTTGATGGAGTGGAGGCAGAGGGACCGGGAAGAGCTGTGGCTGAAGTGCCGGACATTTAAACCATTAGCCCGAATGTATCCTCTAGTGGCATTGGGTAACACGATCCCTAAATGTGAGCCGGTTCCTACCGAGCCGGGGCTGGGATACTTTGGGATGGACTCGGGTGCAGGTGTGAAAGGAAAATGCAGTGCAGCAGTGCAGGTTCTGCTGTGTTTGAATTGCAAAATATTTCCCTTTTGGGGCTAGTTGGCTGTTTTAGTCTCCTTTAAACAAAATTCACAGGATCTGGATATTAAATGCATACTCAGACTGTGGCTCACAGACATAATGCCATCCTTGATAATGAAATTAATACAAATTGATTAATTCTGTTGAAAGTAATGTTCTTGCTGATGTACAGACATTTCTCTACTAGTTCTTCCAGTATATTAAAATCTGGCTTGTTTTAAGCATTTAAACTTATTCACAGGAACAAAGATGATGCAAATATTGGATTTGGATTCATGTATGTTATTCGTGCTACTAATAACCTAGTATTGGAGTGAATCTTAGAGTACTCTGTGAGTTTATAATTTATAATAGTGACTTAAGCTGAATTCTGTTTGTAGAAAATTGCATGTTTAGAAGTACTCTCACATACCTGAAAGGAAAATTTGGCCCATGATTATCTTTTCCTAAATGATGTTGTGTGGGAGCTACTTTTCCTCCCTCCTCACGACTCTCCCTGTTTCAGTCTGTTTTTTTTTTTTTTTTATTCACACAGTTTAACCTTCTCCAGAAAATTAAATTGCCAAGTTTCATATCACAGTTTAGGTTCATTTCCAGCTTTAGATAAGGTTGGAAAGAAAGAGAAAGGAGAGGAAAGGCAGCAAAAACCCCTCTAAGTAAAGTGGAAATGCAGCACTCCCTTTGTGAGTGGAACAGGTGCAGATTAACTGCCAGACTTACCTGCCTAAAGACAGAGAAATAGATTTAAGTGTTTGGAGAGCTGGTAACAGAGTCATTCTTTATTCAGTTCTCTGGCAGCAGTGGTAAAACCAGTGGGTATTTGCTTCTTTGATCACTCAAACAAAATTCTTTGCTGTTCATTTAGCATTTTAAATATATGATTCATGAATATAACTTTTCTGAAAAGTGCCCTGGACAAGAAAGAGCTCAGATATGAAGTGTCTAGATTGTCACTGGTCCTGAAGCATGTTAAAAAAACCCAAACATATATCTTAAAAATTCTCCACATAACTGTTAGGATCAACAGTTTGCACGTGTTCACTCCGGGGCAAAGCACAACTTTGCTAGTTTGTGGTGTGCTTTTTTTTTTTTTTTTAGTGAGGTATAAGATTACATCTAGGTACTCTGCATAATTATAGCAATGTTCTGAGCAGTCTGTCTGATGTTACTCTTTATTTAACTCCCTGCTTTTCTCAGGTCTGAGCCGAGATACAGAATTTGCCTTGAGCTGAAACTTTGCATACCCTGTTTGAATATGGGCACAGCTCCTCTTTTCTGTGGAATAAACTGTGTTTTGGAACAAATGAAAGAGTGCTTAGAGGCTCTGTGTTTCAGTCCAGTTAGATCATGCTACAGTTTTTGTTTGTTGTTTTAAGAATCACTGGTTAGATTGTTCAGGGTTGTTCTTGGATACTGCTGAAATGTGTTTTCCTGCCAAATAAAAACTTAGCAATAGTTATATTTGCTTCAGCTACATTAGAAATGGAGTTAGGATCATGCTGTATCATAGGGTTTTGGAATTGCAGCCTGTACTTTTTTTGGCTGCCTCGTTTCACCTTTGCTGCAGCTCCTGTTTGACAGCTGACTTGGTTCATAACCCACCGTCCAGGAGGAGACGCTCAAATACTTTATTCTTTTTGGGGTGAAGAGACCGTGCCTACAGTCTGACCTGCAGGAAAGAATCTTCTGTCCATGGAGCTTTAGCCTGCAAGCTGTGCACAAAGGTTCAGGTGTTTGAGTTTTTACCACAGCCTTGGGAGTAGTGAGCTCTGGGTTCACAGGTGGCTGCACTGAGGCCTGGCAGTGCTGGCTCCAGCAAGTCCTTTTCATTTGACGTGTCTTAGAGTCGTAAATTTGGATAATCCAGCAGCTCTTGTGCCAGCACATGCTTGTGCCAGTCATGTGCTGTAGTCCTGGTTTAGCTGCTGCACTTGGGCCCAAGGCTGGTCCTCCCTGCAGGTCTCTCAAAGGCTGTGGATCCACTCACACGCTCATATCTAAAATTATGAGTTTCGTTTTATCTCTTCCCATCTTTCCTGAGTGCACAGGAATTTGTTTTCCTCTTGGATGCTGTCCCACTCTGCAGCACTACTCAGTTCTACTGCTGCAGGTTATAATGTCATTAATCCCTTATGCTGCCTAATCCTACAGTTAACATGACTTAGTTTTCCTTTCTCTCATGGTAAAATTTTGGTGAACACAGTGGGTGTGCAAGTGGTTTGATGAGTGTTTGGGGAGGAGTTGGGCCCTTTCCTTTTTGGGGGTTTTCTTGTTAATATTTCAGGATGCCGACGTCTCCTTGACCACGGTTACTGTGACAATGCCACTGGGATTAACTGCCAGTGTATAGCTCTTAACAAACAAAATCTCCCAATAGTTAAAGTCTGTGAAATTAACTGTGCTTTTTTGTTTGTTCTCCGTGTGTCATAAGACTGAAAACGACAGTGTCTAAAGATTAAATGCAGCAACACTTTTCTCTGATCCTTTATGGCCTTGACATTAAAACCAGACAAAAATTAAGCATGTTATCTACCACGGCCCTTGTACAGGAAAATTCAGATTGCTATAAAGCAGGAATGGACTTTTTTCCTCTGCAGAAGCCCATATGAAAGGGTAATTTATGCCTTAACCTGGTCTTTTATTTTATTTATTTTCCCTTTTTGATCACACGTGTTCTTGTCTGTAGACTTTGTGAAATCATAATATGGTTCTCTCCAGGAATAATTCATTGGTTGTTAATTGACTTGGAACTTTATTGGAATGTAATAAAGCAATTAAGTCTTTCAATCATAGTAATACTTTTGGAGATGCTTTTAAAATTTACATCGTTACCTTTTCATAGCTTTATACAAACAAATTCTGTGTGCCTCTTTCACTTGAAAAATGAACTGGTTTACTGCTTTTGGCAGCACTGTGGATGCCAAACTGAGAATTCCATCCGTGTATGTTTGTCTTTAAGGCCATGGTAGGTGAGGAGTGTGTAGGTGCCATCGTCTGCAAGCTGGATATGCACAAAAAGATGTTCCGCAGAGGTTATATAGCCATGTTAGCAGTGGATTCCAAATACAGAAGAAAAGGAATTGGTAAGAATAGCCTTTTTTATTCTTTCTTCCTTAAATCCTCTAGCTGGGATAACTGTAGCTGTCATAAAGATTTAAGCTGAACTGAACTTCAGGATGTTGGTGCTTTGTGTGTCATCCCTGCCTTACTCAACCACACGAGCTCCCCAGTGGCTTTTCTGATTTTGTTAAAATAACCTGAAATGCCCTGTGAGGTTCACACCTGGCATCTGCTAAGGCTGAAAAGAAAGGCAGGCAGCAGCCCCTTACCTCTGCCACTACCAAATAACAACAGTGGGAACTGCTTTGTGGTTTTGTGTGTGCCCTCATCACTGTATTTCCATGTTGTGTTCAGGTTCCTCTTTTACACTGAACTTATTTCTTGACTTCCCTCTATAAATTATGCATATATTACCCATCAGGGAGAATGTATGGAGCTCATTATTGGATTAATCATGGAAGAAAAATAGCTGTGTATTGTTACTTGAATGATTGAAATGGAGATCTGTTTTGTTGGGAAGTTACATGCTAAGGAAATCATTCTTGGCAGGGAGTTTGCCCTTCCTCGTTAATCAGTTTTGCCCTGGTGAAGGGATTTTCATTCTAACACCAGTTAGCCAAGTTGGTTTAATTAAATATCTGTTCTTATGGAACTTAATTTTTTCATGCTGGTTATTGTGAAATTGCATTTTGTAAGGTATTTTTAACTAAATGTAGATGTCAGCTCTAAAGCTTAGAACTGTGCTTCACCACTCATCCACAGCTCATGCTTCTGTGATTAAAGACAAAATTACTTGCAATCAAAAAATACAGTGATCCATTGCAGAATGTATCATTGTGTTTGCTCTCTTCCAAAAAAAACCCTCCAAAAAAACACATTACCACGACTGTTCAAGCATGTGCAGATTTTTTTCTTTCCCCAGTGCAATTCAAAAGCCATTGTTGGTTTCTGTAGAGGAGCAGAGGAAGAGGATACTGAGAAATCACTGTGTCTCCTTTCCTTTTAGCTGAGTCATGAAGGAGTCTGCCATAATTTAATTGCAGGTGCTTGGATTCAGAAGTAAATGAGAGCTAATGCTGTTGTTATGATCACTGCAAGACTTTCCACTCACTTTAGTCAGTTTGTTAAATTAGAATTACATACATAGAATTTCTCTTTAAAACCTTGCTTGCTCTTATATGTTGATTTTTTTCCTACATTTGCCACCTTGCTATTTCTCAAAGTCTGCTGTTAATCTGAAGCTCTGCTTTAAATGTAGAACAGTTTTATCATAACATTCAATGAAAATCTTAATTGATTAAAGTTTTGAGAATATTTTAAAACATTCTGTAGATTCCTTGGGGTTTTTTTTTCCTTTTCCATAGCCTTCTTATGGAAGTGAGATTTATGCAATTTCACTGAACAGCAGTTTTTTCCACTAATAACTTTGAAATCAACTTTCAATTTCACTCCAATTCTACAGATAGGGATATTACATTTGTAGAACTGTTGTGAAATAGATGACAAATAATGATAAAAAAATTAAACTAATGCTTGACTGAGGGGAAGGGATGGGTTTCAAGAATATTATTAGATACCAGCAAACCCAAATGGGAGTGAGCCATAAGAACAATGGTTTCATAAGTTCTGTTACTAATAGAAGTATTTGTTTTAGTAAGAGGAAATTCCCATGGAAGATGAATGTCCTTCAAGTACATGCCAGCAGATTTTGACTTTAAATGCAACAAAAAGGAATGAATCACATCTTGGAAGGCTATATTTAACACCATGTTGAGCTTAGCAGCCTGTTTCTAATATCCTTGTGCTACAAGAATCTTGCACTTGAGCTGAATCTCTGGATAACTTCACAGATTATTTTAGTGTTCAAACTTGAGACTGCAGCTTGACTGCAACTCCTTGTTTTTCTTTCCTCCCTGCTTTCCCCAGGTGTCATGTCATGTAGGTAGCACACATTAGTCATATATAAACTGGCATTTTTGTTTTGCACTGCAACTCTTGACACTTACTGAAATCTGTGTTTCAGGTACAAACTTGGTTAAGAAAGCTATTTATGCTATGGTTGAAGGAGATTGTGATGAGGTAAGATTTTATAATCAAAACTTTCATAATGTAAATGGTTTGCACTCTCTTGTATGTGGATTCATGTCACAGGTTTTTCTTCTACAGGACTTTCCTTTCAGGTGGGAAATAAGTTGGTAAGAAGCTCCTTTATAATAAAAGGGAAAACAACCTCAAAAAGAAGTATGGCACAAATAGGAGATGGACTTTCTAAATTTGTTCTAAGTGCTGAAATTCAGTAATTTACCTTGTGAAGCTGCCTCAGCCTTCACTCAGGCTCATTTTCCTGCAAGGGCCCCAGTTTGAGCAGTGAGATGAACATGTCCTGTGTAGCCCTGCATCCCTTCAGAGTACACACAGCCACAGAACAGTGTGTGCTGTGCTGCTGCAGAATGTGGATTTATCACAGCCACTCATCAGGCTGTTCTGACACTGCACAGAGCAGAGCTGCTGTGGGTTAGCACAGCAACACAGCCGTGCAAGGAGAGTCACTGAATCACTGGCAGACCTCCCTGCCATAAAAGTTGTTACTCTTTTACCAGATTACAGTTCCTGCTTTTTTAAAAAAATATAAATACATACATAAAGCACCTCTATAGTTATGTGCCTTTTTTAACTTGTGAGGAACTCTCCCTACATCCATCCATCCATCCATCCATCCATCCTCCTTAACCAGGTTATCTGTCCCTTTAATTCCATCTCGTTGGCACAATGCAGTTGTTCCTGATGTGTGAGCGCTGTCATTTCAGTGTGTCATAGTTAATGAGCCTTTTATCTCTCTGTTATCTCACTTCAGCTGCTCCCTCATTGTCCCACTGCTTCCTCAATTGTCCCACTGCCCCGTGGGGAAGTTTCTTATGCAAAGCTACAGTTGGTGTCCCAGGACTTCTGGCACACGCTCCAGTTTATTTTTCCACTTGTGTTTCACCTCTTGCAGCATCCCTGCCTGTGCTCTGGCTTCATTCATTGGGAGATTTATTCTCCCCCTCAGATCCCTTCATGCCTCTGCTTGCTGTTGTCTTCTTCCCCCTCACCTTCTAATTTATGTTGTACTTGGGCAGTACAGTGCAGTCTGTAATTCTTTTAAGTTCTTTATTTTGGCTTCTTGCTTCTATCATGGTTTCTAAAATGCTCTCCTCTAATCTCTTTAACTACTTGCCTGCACTGAGCTAATCAAAAGGGTGGTTGGTTTGTTTTCCCCATTGCTTTACACTATGGTCTTGAGTTGATTTCCTATTTCTAGACTAGTCAAGGTTTTTTAAAAATTGCCAAATACTTGGGGATCAGGTTTACAATATTCACACCACAGCTGCAGAAGTGAGATGCAGAGAAAGGAAGTGAATTGCCCACTGTTATTAGAGAGTCAGTAGTAGAACTGCATGTTTCTACTCGAGCTCTGAGTTGCAGTAATTACTGTATAATTACTGATTGTCTGTGTGCTACTTCTCATGTAAATTCATTTCTGGATTGGACTGTCTAACAGGTGACCTCTAACAGTAACCTCTTCTGTGTCTTTTTCCTCTACCACTGTCATATTAATCCAAGAACCCTTTTTGCTGTTTTTTTATCTCGATAAACATAAGATAAATGTGATAAGGGTTGCAGGTCTGCAGTGAGGCCTCATTAAGTCTTAGTCACAGATTTTCATCTCTGGTGCTGTATAAATGCTTTGGACCAGGGGCAGAGGGCATTCCTCAGATTCTCTCTCTTTATTCAAAGGCACTACAATTACAATTCAGACTCCTTGAATTGTGTGCTGGATGGGGGCAGCCATGGGTTTGGAGCTGCTGTTTGTAGAATGATGATTCCAAACTCATCCCCTGCTTTTGGGGGGCTTTTGCACCAGCTGAGTCTTGTGCTGGCACTAAAGTTTGAACAGGGAGCCCTTTGGGGAGCATGGATTACAAGCAGAGTATTTTACTGATTTTTACTGATTTTTCTGTGCCATCAATTGAGGCATACCCACACTTATTTTTATTTATGTTGTTTATTTCCGCTTAACTTTGGTTATCCACAACCAAACAGCCAATGTTTCCATGTTTTGTTTTTTTTCTTTGCCACCAAGTAGACTTCTTCCACATAGCCAAAATGGTGCAGAATAAGGATGTTGGTTACTTGTACTACATGGTGGAGTGCTGAATTTTCAGCCAGACCAGAATCTGAAAAATCTAACTAGGCACCCATGAAAAGCTCTGCTCAACTCTTGGCTCTCACCAATTTTCACAACAGTTGTCAGATCAGTTTCTGATTAATTGATGCTTAAAGCTCATCAAACACAAAGTAGTGCATCACAATAATTTTTGTCTGTGTGAGGCATATGAATAGTTTAATCATCCCTGCAGCTTTTAAGGTATTTTTCTACATCTTTTAATAAAATCAGAATCCTGATGGAAATAAAAAGATACTGCTTTTTGAGATAAGATGGAGTGCAATTAAAAGCAAAATGCTATTTTCTGAAACTTACTTGGAATAGGATTAAAAACATGAATATGCAGCTGTGGGTGTCGTGAAAAATTTCCAAAGGCTGCTTGGAAACTCTTCCCTTCAATCTAATTATGGCATAGATGCAGTAAATAGACTTAATTTTAATAACTTGTGGCATATAATCTGATAAATGCCTCACTCAGTGTGTTGCTTTTCGAAGTATCACAGATTTGGCTTTGGAGGTACCAGCATTGAGTCCTGAAAAACAAAGGATTTATACAACACCACAGATGAAAATCTTGACAAATCACAGCTGATAGGTGGCATTTCAAAGCCTGCTGCAATGTTCTGGTGTTTAAGGACTTTTTTTTTTCCCCTGTAGGCTGTTTTAGTGGGAATAAACCAAGGCAGGCCCATGGAATGAGTGATTTACAATGGTCAGCACCCTGCCTAAGAGGCAGCTTCTGCTGGGTACAAAATCTTCCAAAGGGGTTGTTTCTGTGGGAAAGCTGTGGAGTGAGTAAGGGAGGAGGTGAATTGACTGGAATGGAATCTGTATGCAGGGGAGGAGCTGGCCATGGCCTACATTAGAATAGAAACCAGGGAAGTGATCTGGTGTTGGGGGTGGGTGCTTGAACCAGAAATAACCTTCAGGCCTGAAGAAAGTAACAGCAGCTTCCAGCTGGAGTGTCTCTATATAACATTACAAAACGTTGGGATCTCTGTTTTGTATTTTTTTTGTGACTTTCTTAGGTATTTGATGTTCATGAATTCTGATATTTGGGGTAGTGAACTGTAATGGGCTGAGTTTCCAGTAGATCACAGTGATTTAGGATGACTCTGGGCTGCTTGCATAGAAAAGATGAGCTGTGGAAATAAATCAGGTGAACAGTTCTACTTCCAGCTCCAAAGTTTTGGAAATACTTTTCTTACAGTTTAGAAAAGCATGCTGCAGCAAGGTGGGTATCTAGCTGCTTTTTGTACTGTTTTTGCTGGCAAGCAATTTCCCAAAACTACAGCTGAAGACCATCCTGTGGAGCTTTTACATCCCTTAATTACAATTAGAAAGGAGGAGTTGTTCATATGCAGGTTTTCCATCTGTAACAAATGACTGAGGAACCTGCAGACAATCCATTCACTTTATATTAATGAAATAATGTACCATGCAAGTGGTAACTAATGAAAATAAGACTCCAGTAAGTGGGGACTTCAAAAACCTTTTTTTTAAGCAAAAATGTAGAACGTGAAAGGCAACCACAGATTCTCATGGAAATTCCCATTGAAACTTCAGGGTGATTTAGAGTGAGGTTTTTGACCACACTAAGTAGGTGTGTCATTTTAATTCAGCACCACACTAGTAAAAATGAAATGTCTATTTTTATGGAATCCTATTTGAAATCATTACATTACTGATATTTTTAGTTTCTCCTTAACCTACAAAACATATAAAGTATGAATTGGTAGATTTTGGGTAGTGCCACTCTTTAATAAAAAGTTAAGGCAGTTTGAATTGATTAAGGACGCTGGACAAGCTCTCATAACTTGAATCTGATGATCTGTCAGATTTTAAAGTAAGAATGCCAACCTCCTCTGTGAGTGCTGAGAGGACTTTGTTCATTTGATTTGGCTGTATCCATTCTATGGCTTGGTTTTTAAACTTGAGTTCCTTCAGAGTTTGAACTGAAGAAGCACAAAAGCTTGACCACTCCAGTTGGCTTCAGTTCAGAAATAAATTGTAGGTATGAAAATGTAGCAACAAGGAACATTGCACTTCTTGCTTCTAAACCCAGTAATATTAGAGTTGAGCTAAAATGTTAGGTTTATGAAATTTAAGATAAAAGAGAATGTCACAACCTTAAGATAGTTGCAACTTGAGCAGAAGATGCTGTTAAATCTAATCACATCTTTGCTGCCCTTTGTGGGGGGTTACTGTGTTATCAGAGGATTTAACAGGTATATATTTACAACAAAATCGACCCACAAGAGCAGAAATAAATGTAACAATTGAAGGTTTGGAGCTTGATTGAAAATCTCACACAGGAAGAGATTCGTTCTTCACCAAAGGAAGCTAATGAAATCTGAATAAAATATGCCTGTGTTTCCTTTTCAGATAACAGAAACATGTCTTCAGCTGCAGTATGTTGAGATCAGGGAATTACTTTTCATTGTGCTGAGACTTCCTTAGAAATACCAGAGCAAATCTCTTGCATTTGCTTTCAAGATGAGCATTCACTCAGGTAGTGGGATTCCAACAAACCTGTATTTCAACATTTAACCACTCCCTTCAGCACAATCACCTGCAGTGCTGGAAGTGTTTTAGCATTGCCAGGTGTTGGTGCTTGCAGTTCAATAGAGTTATTACATCACTCTGCTAGGTTACTGAACCTTTGAGAGAGTGAATGCCCTTGGTAGCTGAGAGTTCAAATAAATAATTCTCTGCATGGTGGATCTACACAGCTCAGATTCCTTCTTTGGCTTCAATGTTTTGTTTAAATTGGAATTAAGGAGTTGTACAATAGAAAATAGCCCTCTCCAGCAAAGTGATGGTGCTTCCATAATTTGTTACAGATGAATAATTATCCATTTTAATGGATGAAGGATGTTAGGAGTACCCCATCAGCTCACAGGACATGCCAGTAATGTTCTGGGAGATGCCAACTAGAGAAATTCAATCTCTTATTCTTGTCACAAAACTAAGAATTGAATTAGGTTGTCAAGTGTGCAGCTACAACACTACCCTGCTGTAATTTAAGAACTTAGGGTGATTAATATTTTAATGTGTGACTCTTAGTTCCTTTTTGTAAAACGAGCTGTTTCCAAGTCTTACATTGTTCACTGGATTGTTGTTCCCAGCTTTATTGTTCTTTTCATCCCTACACTGAGAAACACAGGTGGAATTGCCCATTGGAATGTGGCAGACAGTGGTTAGACTGGTCACCTCCAGTAAGATTTAAAAATCCATTTAATGTAGATATTTGACTCAAAGTTTCAGGCCACTCCACCCACTGGCTGCCTTCTCCTTTCACACTGGCTTAGCCACTCCTCAGACTTCAGAAAGCAAACCTCATGGAAAGAAAAAGGAAAGGTTTTCTGTCTGGTGGCTTTGGAAGTAGCTCAGGAACCAGCCTGAGCAGGAGAGGCCAGGGGGAAAGGGAAGGGGAATGTGTGCCTGAAGGCAGGGAGGCCACAGAAGCCATGAATTAGATGGACTTCACCTGCCCTGCAAATCTAGGCTAAATTTTGGTCCTGTGTTTTCATTCTATGGTCTTTGTACAGTGCCCATCAGCTCCTGTTCAATATGTGGATGTTCAGTGTCAGGGGGTGTATGGAGCCCAGTCCTTGTTAGTTCAGCCCATGTTCTTGTGCAACCAGGATCTCTTGTTAATAGCAGAACCTTAAATAATTGGGTTGGACAACAGTAAAGAGGTAGAATTAGTTTTTATTATGTGGAGGGGGTGCAGGGCTTGTCAGTTATGGCAGAGTTCTGTTCAGTGCATGTGGAGAAAGAGAGAGAAAAACAATTCTGAATAATTCTGAAGTTTTGTGATTAATGTCTTGTAAAAGGCCACTGTAGGTTTTTGCCTGTGCATGAGAATTCTGAGACAATTTTGAGTCTTAATTTGGACTACTCTTGGACTTGGGTTTGGTCTGAGTTATTTCTGACAGGTCTTTCTGCAACTGGGATCTTACCAGCACAGGGGGAAAAATACAGAAAACTCTGCTTCTTATTCTTGTGTGCACTGTGATTTGGGTTTGGGGTATTTGTTGGTCCCCAAGTTGGATCAGGCTTGGAGCAGGGACTGGAACTGGATGATCTTGAAGGTGCCTTCCAGCCCAGGCCACTCTGTGATTCTTGTGTTGAGCACAAAAAAGTATTCACTGCAAATGTTGGGTCTTACATCTGGTGTCAATTGAGAGCTTTTATTTGCATCTAATTCAGAAGGATCAAGGGTCAAAGATACAAAATCATTGAGTAAATCCTCGTGTGCCAAGTTTTTGTGACATGCAGAAGTTCAGTTACTCATTCAAAGTATGTTTTGGCCCCTAGCCAGGTAGCCTAGGTAGCTTGGGTTTTGAGGGAGGATGTTGGGAGACAGGGGCTGTTTGGGATTGGTTTGTTACCTTGTTTTTTACCCTGGTTACGAGGTGATGAACTGAAATTCTGTTTACAGCCAAGAACTAAAGTCTTAAATGTTGTTTACAATTACAGTTGTGAATGAACTGATATTTTTTTTAATGTGGGAATGAATGCTTAATGTGGAATTACTGCTTAATTAAGTAAAGATAAGAAGAAATTAATTCCATTCATTGTTAACAAACGTACCTTTAAATAAAACCTTTGGAATTGCAATTCAGCAATCACGTACTTGCAACTGCCGACTAACACGACACGCTTCTTTTCCTTTTTTTATTTCTTTTCTCCCTTAAAGGTTGTATTGGAAACAGAAATCACAAATAAGTCTGCTTTGAAACTTTATGAAAACCTTGGTTTTGTGCGAGACAAGAGGCTGTTCAGATACTATTTAAACGGAGTGGATGCACTGCGCCTGAAGCTATGGCTGCGTTAGGAGACCCCGTCCCAGCGAGCGAGCGACGTCCCAGCAGCGCAGAGTTGTCCTTTGCATGCAATGCAATTTGTCCCAAATTGCTTTGCAAGGTGGACTCTTAGTACTTTCCATGCAGCTCTTAAACCTGTCAGTGTCCCATTGAGTGTCGCACACATTCGTTGCACTTTGGCATGGCGCATTTGTTGCGAATTAAAGCCGATTGTCTCAGACTCCGAGTCCTTTTGGTACCAGCCAGATGTGCCAGGTGATAGCCAAGATATGTTCATTCATTTGCAAGTTTGCTGACTCTTTAGGACATCCACACAGTGAACGTTTTATCAGAGAAAACCTGGATGGGAAACGCCGCTTTTGGTTCCCGAAAATTCGAAATAAAGCCAATGTAGATTGTAAAATTCTATAAGTATACTAACATTTCATACAAAAATTGCCATAGTTTTCTGGGGAAGAAGAAGAAGAAGAAAAAGAAAAAAGGCTTCAATTTTAGGTTTTATTTTTCAATATTGAATTTTTCCATTCTTAAATATTGGTACCTCAGTGATTAGTGAATGAAAAAAATGTATTGTAGGGTGGGGTGTGTGTTACAACGAGTAACCATTAAATTGCGTCTGCCAGTGCCTGTATAGATAAGTATATTTGTCTTCACCTCTAAGTTTGGAGTGCATGCTTTTATTCTTTTACTTTCTTCAGTTGTCTTTGCAAGGAAAAAACAAATCTGCTTTTATTTAAATTCTGGATTTGATAATAAATTATTTCAGATTTTTTTATAATTCGGATACTTCTCCCAAACAAGGGTTTGGAAGGCCCTTCTTATAGCAAGAAGTGTGAGCTATTTTGAAAACCTTGAGTAGCTGCTAAAAGAACCTGGTGGCACCAGTGAATCTCTGCTGGGTTTGGATGCACTTTTTTCATTGAAAGAGTGAGGGACTTCTTTTAAAAGAAGATATAGAAAATTAATGTAAATTGGTATGATTTTTATTTAATCAAAATTATTGCTAGGAGCTCTGAGAAACAGCTATTTTAAGATAGTCAGAACAGGTTTTTTTCAGATTCAGATTGCTTTGCTTCAGTGTTCTAAAATGCTTCAATCTTTGGTTCTTGGTCTTGGAAATTAATTTCAAGGTATATTGTATTCATTTTTAGCTGCTCTCATTTTCTCAACTTCCATGAGCTAAATTATTGGGGGATTTTTTCCCCTCTAAAATCAAAGCAGCGGGGAAGGAATTCTGTCTCTCTTGCCTTCACTCTTGCTCTGTTTTTCTCTAATTTTTTCCATTCTTTGTTTGGGCTACATAGGTTTTACCAATACCCATCAGTTTTTTCAGTAATGACAGTGTCGAGGCTTTCTTGTTCTGTGTGGTTCCATAGCCCAAGTCTACGAATCAGTTGGGTTGGTTTTTTTGGTTTGTATTTCTGGGGGGTTTTTTTAATTTTGAAAGACAAAAATAAAGGTATTAGGTGATTTGTGGAAGCACCTCTGTAATCAGAGATCTCAGAATATTCAGAGTTGGAAGGGACCCACCAGGATCAAGTCCAACTCTGAGGTGAATGGTCCATACAGGGATCAAAGGATGAACTCTCAGTGAATCCACTCTCATGGAATCAAGCGAATTCTCCAGATTTGCCTTACTACACTTTTTTTTTTTTTTTTCTTTTTAGAGTTTGGTTTGAGTCGTGGGGTTGGTTTGGGGTTTTTTTTGTTTGTTTTCATTTTTGCTAATTACTGTACACTAAAAACAAAACCAACAAAACCCCTACCTCCAGTATCATTTGGAAAAGAGCCCTGTGCAGGAAAACTGGATTTGAGCAAAGCCGCCTTTTGCACAGACCAATCGCACATGGTGATGGACGTTTCTTACCATGTACAAATCATGAGTTGTATTTGAAAATAAAGATTTTTAATGGAAATTGGCCCTGCTGAGTTTTCTGCTTGTAGAGACACCATCTGTGCTGTCGAGGGGATCTGTTCCCCTCAGTAAAGAAAACTCATCTTTAAAAAGGTGCCCAAGCCAAAGTGTAAGTGGGGTCCTGGACTCCCAGGACATGCTGGAGCTCAGCCTAAAGCCTGTGTGTAGCCACTGCTGCCTTGTGACACGATAAAATCTCTCCTAACCCTGCTCCCCCAGTGGTGCCAGTTTTTCTGGGTGGCTTTTCAGCAGTTTTGCTCAGTGTTAAGGCTTCGATGCTGGTAGCCAATCCATTGAGTCAGGTTTGCCTCAGCTGTGGTCCAGGACATAGAGACTGCCCTGGAGCTGGATCAGGGAGGTTTCAGACCTTGCAAGCAGCTGTTGGGCTTGAATCACAAATTGCAAACTGGGCTGCCTTGTGTGTCTTGCTGGGGTTTCAATCTGCAAAGCCAGACAGGCAAGTTTTCTATTGGTTAATATTTAAGCCGTGGGTGTCTTCAGATTCAAAAGCCGACTTGGAAGTGAGCTGAAATCCCTCCTCACTGCCAAAAACATCCCTCTGGAGCAAACTTCAAATACAATTCTGGTTGGTTATTGTAAGAAGTGGTTGCTGCCATGTCTTTGTTGAAAATACTGAGCAAAATAGGTGCAGGTCTCTCTTTTTTTGTTTTTCAAAGAGCACATGGCCTGAAAGGTTCTGCCATGGCTGCAGCGTCAGAGTTCACTAAAGGAGACACTCGAGCTGCATGTGTTGGGTCCTATCAAACAGATTTGTTCTCTGTACTGCTTGGGATTAGGAAATCAAGTGGGAAGCCTTGAATTTGCATTGATTTTCAAAAGGAATCTAGCAAGGAAAAGTTGGTTATTTCTCTTGTCTGTTGCTAAACACAGTTCTCTCCCCCTCGCCTTTTTGCATTGACAAATCTAACTAAGGAGTTGATTGCTTTTCTATTTAAATTTGCCCAAATGTTGCTACTGGCTGACGTGTCGGTCTGGATGTTTGCATTCATTATGTTGTTTTTTAAGAAATGATCAGGTTCATCACCTTCAAGGCATCATCAGATTGGTGTTGCAGAGTTATGTCAAACGATTTTTCAGGGCACTGCAAGACATTGCTACAACTCAGTGCTGTGTTGAAAAAACTTCAGGTCTTGTATAAACATTACAACCTATGTTGGAGTTCAGGTATCAGGTGGGCATCTATGAAAATAGCAAGTGTATCTCAAAATACTGGACTGCTGTTTTGAGTGGATTATATTCTTCTGTCCCTTTATCCTTTTTGATGAGAACAAAACCAGTGGGGTTACGAAATGTACAAGTTGTCTAAATACAATGCAGTCAAATAAATGGTTATGTTGTTTATCTATTTCCTTTTCAACGGGAATGTTCTAATGATTGTTTTGCTTTGTATACAAAATACAAATACACACTTGCTCAAGGCCAGGCTGGATGGGGCTTGGAGCAAACTGGGCCACTGGAAGGTGTCCCTGCCCATGGCAGGGAGTGGTCTTGAAGGTCCCTTCCAACCCAAACCATTCTGGAATTCTCTGACAGAGAAATGGTGGGAACATTTTTACAAGAGAAAACTGTCTATCATGACTTGATTTTAGAAATTGCCCTGTCTGTGTCGGGAGCATCTTGAACATCTTTTATTTGAACAATGTCATAACTGACCTGAAATGGGCCCTTTTTTTATGGCTTTTGGGAGGTAAGGAGGGGGGTTTATTATTTTGCTTGCAAGTAAGCAAGAATTGAGAACTGTGGGAAGCCCTTGTGATGCTGAGAACTCTACTAAAAGCATACAGAGGAGTCCTGTATGTACTTAGAAAAAATGTACTTTTAAAATCCTCTCAAAGTACTTTTCATGCACTTTGAGCTTTATTCCCTCTACCATTATGTCCAGGCTCCTAAAACTCTTGAGAATTTGCCAGCAATTGTGCCTGAGTGGCTGTGTCAGAGGTGTGCAGGTGACTGAGGGCTGTAACCAACCTGCCAGAGACTGCTGCTCATCTGCCAGGACCTCCAAGGCTTTTCTCCTTCCAGTTTCTTTTATGGTTCCTCCCAGCTTCCAGCACCTAAAGAGGAACATTTTTACAAGGGCGTGGAGTGACAGGACAAGGGGGAATGGCTTCAAACTGACAGAGGGTGGATTTAGATTAGAGATGAGGAAGAAATTACTGACACTGTGGGTGGGGAGGCCCTGGCACAGGGTGCCCAGAGAAGCTGTGGCTGCCTCTGGATCCCTGGAAGAGTTCCAGGCTAGGTTGGATGGGGCTTGGAGCACCCTGGGATAGTGGAAAGTTGGAAGGGGGTTGGGAAGAGATGTCCCTTCCAACCCAAACCATTCCATGATTCTGTTTTCTAATGGATGATTCTCCAGCTATTCAGCCCTTGCAGGTGGTTGGAGTATGTAGCCTCCAGGTGGGAGACACAGATTTAAATTCCAGCTCTGCATCCACCACAATATCCATCCTGGATTTGAGAAATTATCTGTCACAATCAAAACTGAATCCTGACAGCATCAGCAAAAAATGTCCTAAATGGTTTCTTAACTTTTCTGAGAGGTGTTTTTTCTATTTTCTGTGCCAGCTATTGCCTTGATTTGGGGCATTTTGTTTTAAAAAGAAAGCAAAAGCAGGACAGGAAAATTACTTTCTGCTGAAGTGAATGCTTCTCTTCAGGTGCCAAAGACTGAGAGAAGGTGACAAAGAGGAGGTAGTGGCTAAAGATTGAATACAGGGGCTTAATAACTGGTTTTTACTTTCTATCTGTAACAAGATGCCACCTGTTGCTCCTTTTTTTGTTGTTTGTAAAATACCAGTTAAGAAGTAGGTTAAAAAACTAGGTGACAACTTTCCTAAAGTAAGAAAGATTTACACAAAGCTGAAGTTATTACTTACATAATATATTATAGATTCATAGAATAACCAGGGTTGGAAGGGACCCATAAAGATCATTGTAGCCCAGCTCCTGGCAAAATCCTATATTATATTATATTATATTATATTATATTATATTATATTATATTATATTATATTAGCCATACAACCCCCTTCCAGACAGCTCCCTGAAATTCCCTGCCCTGTCCACGTGAGTACACTCCTTTCCATGAGTAATTTAGAGCACACAGTTAATTGAATACTCTCGTGTTGCCACAGCTCCCTCCCGAGGGATGGAAAAGGCTCTTAGTCTAAATCAGAATTAGTCTTTAATATCAGCAAGAACAAACAAAGGAGCTCTTGGAGTTGGATGCTTTTGATGGAAGGGGTTGATGTGTCACTCCTGAATTGGGCTAAGTGTGCTCCAACCCCATTGACTCCGAGCAGGAGGCTTTGCTGGAGGAGATAATTCTGTAAAGAAGAAAACCAGCTGCTCTTCAGACAAATTAAGGATGTCCTTCTCCCTCATGTCCCCTCTCCATGCTGATCTGGGAGTCCTGCAGCTCTCCAGGAATTAAAAGCAGTTTCAGGTTCAGCCCTAATGAAGGGCTTGC